CACTCCAGTCTGGGTGACAGAGTGAGACTCCAACTCAAAAAAAAAAGAAAAAGAAAGTTCAATTCACTTGAGATTCTGCTCCTCCGTATTATCTGTTTTTGGCCAAGGTATGAGCACATCAACCACTGAGGTCATAGGCTGGCATCCCAGGACGAGGTGTTGCTCTGAAGCTGTCAGAAATGGCAGGTCTAAGGCAGAGTCCAGGGAGCTAACACAGATGACTGGAGAGGAGCAGGTGGGGACTGTACAGAGCCTGAGAGTTTTTTTATTTCTGCTTCTCAAGTACCTGAGGTTGCATTTGCATTTCATTTTTTTTTTAACATTTTAAAATTCTTTTTTATTTTTGAGTTGGGGTCTCACTCTGTTGCCCAGGCTGGAGTGCAGTGGCACGATCACAGCTCACTGCAGTCTCAACCTCCTGGGCTCAGGCAATCATCCTGCCTCAGACTCCTGAGTAGCTAGGACTACGGGTGCACACCACCATGCCCAGCTAATTGACTTATTTTTTTGTAGAGACGGGGGTCTTGCTGTGCTGCCTGGGCTTGTCTCGAACTCCTGCTCAAGTGATTCTACCTCCTCAGCCTCCCAAAGTGCTGGGATTGCAGGCATGAGCCACCGCACCTGGCCAGCTTCAGAGTTTTTATGAGATTCTGTTTCAGTGTTTTGTATGGAAACCTCATCAGTGATGCTGCGTCCTTCCTGTTGGACCCCACGAGGAGGCCAGCAGGTGCTGCAGGCTTAGTAATAAGAAGAGGGAACAGCCGGGCTTGGTGGCTCAGCCTGTAATCCCATGCCTTTGGGAGGCTGAGGTGAGTGAATTGCCTGAGCCTGCGGGTTTGGGACCCGCCTGGGCAACTTGGCGAGACCTTATCTCTACAATAAATGAAAAAAAAAAAAATAAACCAGGCGTGGTAGTGCACACCTGTAGTTCCAGCTACTTGGAAGGCTGAGGCAGAAGGATCGCCGGAGCCCAGCAGGTCGAGGCTGCGGTAGCTGGGAACGACCACTGCACTCCAGTCTGGGCGACAGAGTGCGACTCCAACTCAAAATAAAAAAAAATTTAAAAATTAAAAAAAGAAGAGGGAACAGATGGTGTAGGCTAGCTTTTCTCCTCATACTTTACTGTTTCTATTTAATTTATTTATTTTTATTACAAGCCAAATAATAGAGAAGCATCTTTTAAAAAGAATCTTGCCCTCTCCGTGTGCCTCCCTTGAATCCATGAGAACAGCCAGTGTGTTTTCGGCTGCTTAGTTCCTAATGTTCATGCCAGCATTCATACATGGTTTATTCTCTTCTTTAAAAAGGATCATATCCCCAAGGTACTCTGCAACATACTTGTATTCACTTCTCTGTTAGCTAGGCATCCCTCAAAACTGATACGCAAGAAATTCAGTTGATTTTTTTCAGGAATGCACAATGTTCTGTTGTGTCACTACATCATCTTGGAATCAGGAGTTTCCAGCTTTCTGATCTTTTCAAACAATTGTAATAAAAAAAATATAACATAAAAGTAACCATTTTAAGTGTTCAGTTCAGTGGCATTAAGTACATTCCAAGTATATACTATCAGCACCATATATCCAGAACTTTTTCATCATCTCAACAGAGACTGTGCCCATTTAGGGTTTTTTTGTTTTTTGTTTTTTTCCAACCCCTATTCTAGCCTTCAGGGTCTTACTTTTAAGAAAGGCAGCTTCTGTGTTCCCTAGCCCCAGTTCAGAGGGGCCAGCCTGCCCCAAGGGCCTCCTCTGCCTTCTCTCTCCTCGTCTCCTCCCTGAAGGTGTGTCTTCATGCGGCTGGCCACCATCTGCGTGCTGGTGTTTACACTGGGCTCCAAGATCACATCCTGTGACAACGAAATATGCGAACTCTGTGGCTACAACCAGAAACTCTACCCGGTGAGCTGCGGAGCTGGGAGTGTCATGGTTAAGGGGACAGTTGTTGAAACTGAGGGTGTGAATCCCAGTTGCTTTCCGACTCTAGCAAAGATGCAGAGCCTGGCATCACACCAAGCACTCCTAAGGCCTTGGAACCCAAAGTCTGTGCGGATCTCAGAGGCGCGTCAGCTGATGCCCTAGTCAGAGCAGCAGGATCTGGAGATGGAAAGGGAGCTGGGAGGGGTCTGGGACCTGGCTTTTTCAGCCATGGGGTCTCTCTCTCTCTCTCTCTCTCTCTCTCTCTCTCTCTCTCTTTCGTTTCAGTGCTGGGAGACCCAAGTTGGGCAGGAAATGTACAAGCTGATGATCTTCGACTTCATCATCACCTTGGCTGTGACACTCTTTGTGGATTTTCCTAGAAAGTAAGTATGAGGGGTATCCATTTTATTGCCTATTCCCCCTACAACTGGAGGTTCCCATTGCAGCTGCTTCCCCCTACAACTGGAGGTTCCCATTGCAGCTAGAATAGGTTCCTATTCCAAAGATGCTGAATAACTCCACAGCCCTAGAAATCTCTGACAACTGGTGATTTTCAAACAGCTGCAAGTCATCGACCTTGGGTTCATTAATTGCCCATCTAAAGATAGTACAGGACAGGCATGGTGGCTTACGCCTGTAATACCAGCACCTTGGAAGGTAGAAGCAGGAGGGTCACCTGGGGCCGGGAGTTCAAGGCCCCCATCTTTACAAAAAATGAAAATTAAAATAAAGGTGGCACAAAGAGCAAAAATGGGACTACCTTCCATGAGGCTTCATTGGGGACGACCTTCCGCCATCAGCACAGCCATGGGCACTGTCAGTGGAGACCTTCCAGGCCCATATCTCCAGATCTAGATTCAAGCTCTACACTGCCCCTGGCTTCAGGTCATGTGACCTTCAGCAAGTTATTTAAGCTCTGTGCCTGTTTGCTCACCTGTAGAGTGGGAAGAGTAGCAGTATCCACTTCATAGTTTTCTTATGAGGATGAAATGGGATAATGAATGCAGAGGGACACTGTACCTGGCCCCCAAACTATTCTTTTTAAAAATTATACAAATATCAGCTGAGCACAGTGACTCAGCTAAGCCCAGTGACTCACAAATCCCAGCACTTTAGGAGGCTGAGACAGGAGGATTGCTTGAGCCCAGGAGTTTGAGACCAGCCTGGGCAACATAGTGAGACCTCATTTTTACATAAAAATTAGCCAGGCATGGTGGCACATGCCTGTAGACCCAGCTACTTGGGAAGCTGAGGCAGAAGGCTCATCTGAGCCCAGAAGGTTGAGGCTGTGGTGAGCCATGATCATGCCACTGTACTCTAGCCTGGGCGACAAAGTGAGACCTCCGACTCAAAAAACCAAAAATGATATGAACGTGTGTCACATCAATCGACGGTAGGATATTTTGGTGATATTGAATGAAATGTGTATGAATTTCTATTTTTTAGTTTTCTGTTTGGATTTTAGCGGCAGTGTGTATTTAGAATGTAAATATAGAAGTCTGGAGGACAGTGGGAGTTCTTGTTTGTGACTGTCCCCCTCACTCACCAATCCCATCCCACTCCTCGGAGGCAGCCATTGGTAACACTTTGGGGTAGATCCAGCAGTCCTTAAAGATGAAAACACATTTGTGTAAGTTTACATGTGAGCAAACACACGGTATTGTTGCAAGTGTTCTTCCTTCCTCCTCTCCATAAATAGGATCAACATACAGCCACATTGGTCCATGGTTTATTTTTTTCCTCTTTACAAACAAAATATTATGAATAACTTCTCATGTCAGGACACAGAGATTTTCTTCATTAATTTTGAAGAAAACTGTATAATGTTTCACAATATCCATGGCTTATAACTTATCAATCCAGCCCCTATTGAAAGGGATTTCTTTTTCTTTTTTTTTTTTTTTTTGACTCCTTGTCATTCAGCTTGAACTGAAGGACATTTAGGTTGTCTCCAGTGTTTTTGCTAATATGTAGCAATGCTGCAGTGAACAGCTGTCCTGGTCCATGATTTCCGGTCACTGGCAAGCGGCATTGCTAGGTGGTAGGATCCTAATAGGGTCCTTTAGGGGTTTTTTTGTTGTTGTTGAGACAAGGTCTCGCTCTGTTGCCCAGGCTAGAGTGTAGTGGCACCATCATAACTCACTGCAGCCTCAATCTCCTGGGCTCAAGTGATCCTCCCCCCCTCAGCCTCTTGAGTAGTTGGTACTACAGGCACATGTCGCCATACTCAGCTAATTTTTGTAGTTTATATAGATACAGGCTCTCGTTATGTTGCCCAGGCTGGTCTGGAACTCCTGGCCTCAAGCATTCCTCACGTCTCGGTTTCCCAAAGTACTGGGATTACAGGCATGAGCCTGACTGTACTTTTTGTGCTGAGTAGCAAACCAGGGTACAGAGGCTTCCCTCATCATTTATTCTTACCTCAATCCTGTGAAGTAGCTTGTATTATAATCCCCCTCCATGTTCCAGATGAGAAAAATGAAGATCAGAGAAGTCAAGGAGCTGTGTTGATTTGGATGCTGAGTTGTGGATCTGAGACTTGGACTCTGGTCTTAAATGATTCCAGAGTTCACTGTATTATTCTGTATCTTTAAGACATATGATTAATCAGCTTCCCAGGAGAAATATGTGTAGACATGGCCCTGATTTTGTGGATGTGTTTCTGTGACCTTGGTAGATACTGGTAGCCCAGGTGAGAAATTGTCCGGTTTGTTTCCAGGCTCCTGGTGACTTATTGTTCCTCCTGGAAGCTGATTGAGTGCTGGGGGCAACAGGAGTTTGCCATTTCTGATAATGTTCTGGGGATTGTTTATGGGCAAACCATCTGCTGGATTGGAGCCTTCTTCTCACCCCTCCTCCCTGCAATTGCAACCTTGAAGTTCATTATCATCTTTTATGTGAAGGAGGTAAGCAGAGGTGGGGGTCATTCCTAACCTTCCAAGGCATCTATGTTTGGATTCCACCCCAAACCCCATGAGATGTAGCAAAATATATCCCTTAATTTAAATATTTTTTTCTGAAAAACAAAAAACAAAAAACAAACAACTCTTAGTGGAGTTTCATGGTTTTATAATTTTGAGGGTTTTGTTAAGAAGAATTAATAATTTTTTTAAAAAGCCATGTGTGGCATGTACTTGTAGTGCCAGCTACATGGGAGGCCGACGTGGAAGGACTCCCTGAGCCCAGGAGATGGAGGCTGCCGTGAGCTGTGATTGTGCCACTGCACTCCAGCCTGAGAGACAAAGTGAGACCCCAATTAAAAAAAAAAGAAGAAAATTGTTTTGCTCATGTGATTGAAATTTTGTTATACATAACTGAGAGTTGAGTAACATCAACTCTCAGACAATCCTTCTGTCTCAACCTCTTAAGTAGCTGGGACCACAGGCACACAATACCATACTCAGCTACTTTTTTTTTTTTGTAGAGACGAGATTTCACTATGTTGCCCAGACTGGTCTTGAACTCCTAGCTCAAGCACTCCTCCTGCCTTGACTTCCCAAAGTGCTGGGATTAAAGGCATGAGCCATAGCACCTGGCCTCTGTATTTTTAATATATGGGAAAAGTATATGCGCTTGTAAAAAATTAATGCAAAATACCTCTGAATTTGATGTATATTATTATATATCCATTTTGTACATATTAAAACCCTTATAAATAATACATTTTTAAAAATTGAAATGAGTTCACACAGTACAGAGTTCAGAAACCTACCATTTTCATTTCACAGTGTCACATGGGTGTGTAAGGCTCACTGTCATCCTTCCTTTGGGCTGTGTGTTATCCCTTTATATGGATGTACTTTAACTTTTAACTTGAACCTAACGGACCCTCATTAATGGTTAGTTAAGTTGCTTCCAGCCATTCCTTGTTAGCAATGACTGTAGTGGTAAGCATCCACATCCATGTATATTGGCCCATTCCCTTTTTTCATCAGCAAGACTTTCCCAGAGTAGGAGTCTAAATTAAACATTTATTTTGGCTGGGTGCAGTGACTCATAACTCTAATCCCAGCACTTTGGGAGACCGAGGTGAGAGGATTACCTGAGTCCACAGGTTCAAAAACAGCCTGGGCAACTTGGCGAGACCTCATCTCTACAATAAATCAAAAAATTAGCAGAGCATGGTGGCATGTGCCTATAATTCCAGCTACTTGGAAGGCTGTAGTGAAAGGATCACCTGAGCCCAGCAGGTTGAGGCTTCGGTGGCTGGGAGCGTGCCACCACACTCCAGCCTGGGTGACAGAGTGAGGCTCTGATTAAAAAAAAAAAAAAATTATTTCAATCTCATTTGCTAGACTAGAAAGGTTATATCATTTCACATTCCCACTGTAGCATGTGAATGTGCTTATTTATCCTCATAGGAGCTGTACTCATTGATCTTAATTTTTTCTGTTTTTTCCCTTAGTTGAGTCTTCTTTATACCTGCCAACCCTCCCCCAGGCAGTTCAGAGCGTCCAATTCTAATTTCTTCTTCCTGCTGGTATTGCTGATTGGCCTGTGTTTGGCGATAATACCTCTGACAATCAGCATGTCACGGTAAATATGACTTTATTTTCTAGAACATTTCCTTGCTTCTTGACATGTTCCTCTTGTATGAAAAAGAGTCCGTTCCATTATGTATTGGCTTTCTTAGGGTGTTCTACCTACAGAGGTTGATAAGTCCTTCATGGCTTAGCCAGGCCCACCTTTATTTCAGAATCTCCCTCTGGATGCTGGACTGTCCTGGCCCACTTCTGGAACTTGGGCTTGAAGTGTTTCCCTTGTTTTTGTGAATGCCAGTTGGGTCTGTCCCATCCCATTTCCTTTCCAGAGCCTCTCTCTCCTTGCCCCGCCCCCCATCAAGATTGTCTTTGTTTCTAATTCTCAAAATAATATGATCATTGTAGAAGACTTGAAGTAGGGAAAAACAGAGACAAGCAGAAAGTTACTTGTATTCCTGCCAGTTCAGTTGAGGGAATCTTGCACTTAGACATTTACTGAACACTTTCTGTGTGCTAAGCACTGTGCTATATGCTGGGGATATGAAGATGCTTAAGACATAGCACAAGAAACTGTAGACTCTAGTGTGGAATTTGGAAAGAGCAGAAATGCACTGGACTAAGGATCGGAATCAGAAGTTGGAGATGGGTACGCTTTTTCTATAAAGGGCTAGAAGAGATAATTTAGGCTTTGCGAGCCAGTGGTCTCTGTAGTAATGACCCACTCTACAGTTATATGATGAAAGCAGTCAGAGACAATATAGAAACAAACAGGCACAAATGTGTTCCCACAAAACTATATTTATAAAAAACAGCAGGTGGGCCAGATTTGGCCTGTGGCTATAGTTTGCCAACCCCTGACTTAAACTCTCATGGAATTTTGTTTCTGCGTCTTTAAATTAAAAGCCTGGAACTTCAAATAACTCTTTCAGATTTTTTCCTTTTTAAACAATCTGAGTCTATGTTTTTTACTGCTTTTTATTGTTATAGTAACATTTACTATATAACAAATTCAAACAACGCAGAAGGGTATAAATTGAAGAAAAAAATTGCTCCTTCACATCCTAGTCTCATTCTTCAGAGGTGGCCACCATTCACATTTTCTTATAAATACTTACAGAAATTCTTTATGAAAAAAATTATGTTTAAAAGCATAGATGAGACAATGATATAATCTTGTTTTGCAACTTTTTTTTTACTTTATTTTATGATAGAGATGAGTACAAGTCAGGATTAGATACATAAGTAATCTACGTGCAAGTAAAGTGGTAAAGTTTAGGCCTCCAACTGGTCCCCACTTCCCCTGGTTTAGGACCAGGTACCTTTGTGTTGTGATGCACCCTGCTCCCCTTCCCTTGGCAGTGTCCCAAGACTGCTGATCCCTCCCTTGTGCTGTTGTGATTGATGTTCAGGTCTCACTGCAACTTATTTTTTCATTTAATTTTATGTTATGCCTTTTCCCATGTCCATGTACAAACAACTCATTCCCTCAAAAAAAGATTTTATCTTTGATTTTTTTAAAGATAAGAAATGCATTTACATGGCACAAAACTCAAAAAGTATTAAAAATATATGGTGAAAGTTCACTTTCTAATTCTATTTCCCAACTATTTAGTTTTCCTTGGGAAGACAGCCATCTTCTTATATCTTTTTTGTCTCTTTTTCTCTCAGTGGTTCTTTAGTATTCCATTGTATGAATGGATCATAAATTGTTCATTCATTCCCTTAAACAACATTTAGGTTGTTCCTAGGGATTTATTTTTATCCTGACAAATAAGACTGTCATGGGAAATCTTACACACAGACATTTGTTATGTGAGTTTTAGGTCTTAATTTTAGTGTTTTTCCTTGTAATTTGATTTTTTACCTCTGCTTTTTATTTTTAAAAATCTCAGATCTATAAAAATTTGACACAATAGCAGCGGTGAAACTCAGACACCCTTCAACTAGATGTCTCAGTTGTTAACAGTCATCTTTCTGTGTCCTCAGGGAATTGATTCCATGTTACCCTCAGCCCCAACACCAAAATCCACAGGTGCTCAGCTCTCTAATATAAAATGGCATAGTGTGTGCATATAACCCACACATCCTTCCATAGACTTTAAATCATCTCTGGATTACTTATAATACAATGTAAATAGGTATTACATATTTTTTCTCTTTATTCTGTTTAACTGGAGTTTATTTTACTTCTATTATTTTTATTGTGTATTATCTTTTTAAAAAATATTTTGTATCAGTGTATTTGTAGAATACACTGATATAGACCCTGCAGACATGGAGGGCTAACTGTAATTTGTTTTTTCTCTCTGTGCTTACTTTTCTTTTGGTGGTAAATCATTTAAAATGAAGTTGTAGGCACCATGGCATTTCACTTCTAAATATTTCAGCATGCAGCTCCTAAGACTAAGAACATTCTCCTTCATGCCCGTTCACAATTACATTTCCTAAGAAAGTTAATACTCATGTCATATTCCTGCCATTTTCAAATTTCTCCAGTTTTCCCAAAGTAGTCTTGTATAGGTTTATTTTTCAAATAATGATCTTTCAAGGTATTGCTTTTGTTCGTTATATCTCCTTAGTCTTTTTTAATCTTTGATTCTGTGGGAGTCCAGGCCAGTTTCCTCACTTGTAAATTAAGAGGTTGAAGAATAGAACACCCACCTTTTGGATTTGTCTGGTTATTTCTTAGGTTTTATTTAACTTGCTCTTCTGTCCTGAATTTCCAGTAAACTGGAAGTTAGGTCTAGAGACTTGATGACATTTCAGGGTCAATACTTTTGACCAGAATATTCCAGAAGGCCCAGGAGTTCAGGTGGTTCCTCTTAGGAGGAACACAACATTCCAGGCCCGTGGCACTCTCAGCGCTCCTCCTTCTGAGTCTCTTGGTCTGTGCCGTGCTCCTCCCTCTGAACCTCTTGGTCTGTGCCCCAACAGCATTCCTTCCTCAAAAGCCTGTGGACCATTCACCAACTTCAACACCACCTGGGAGGTCATCCCTAAGACTGTGAACACTTTCCCCAGCTCACTGCAGTCCTTGGTCCATGGAATCACGTCGGAAGCCTTCGCGGTTCCTTTCTTCATAATCATCTGGTGAGTGAGAGCCACCCAGTCCCTGGCGAGTGTTCCCCCCTCAGGCACGTGGGCTCCTCCCACTGGGAAATGTTGGGGGGTGTCACCCTAGACTTCACAAGAAACTGAGCTTTTCTTGAGCCTCACTTTCCCACCTTTAAAATGGGCATAATAATACTGTTTCAAGGGTCTTTGAGCAGATTCCAGAAAGAACACACATGTAGTCCAATAAATGCTGCTCCCCGCCTTTTTTTTTTTTAAAGGAACAAGGTCTTGCTATGTTGCCCAGGCTTGTCTCAAATTCCTGGGCTCAAGCAATCCTCTCGCCTTGGCTCCTAAAGTGCCAGGATTACAGATGTGAGCCACTGCGCCCAGCCCAATGCTGTCTATTATTATCACTACTGGTGATTCATAAAATATCCTGCTCTTTGAAAAGGAAACGATTACTGGGAAGGGAGATGAGCACTAGATTAGGAGCACGCACTTGAACCTGGCTCTACCACTTATAAGCCATGAATAATTGGAAGTGACTGTACCTTACATATAGTAACTCATGAAATCATAATTCTTCTAAGATGTGTGGTACCTATACCCTAGGTATTACTACAGTAAAACCCCACCATAATGCAAGTGGGCCAAAACACTTTCGCTTGTGAAAAGCAGGATACCTTTGATGAGATGAGTAAAGTGACTTGAGGGAACTGTGCAGCTAGCCAGCCTGGAATTTGGAGGACCCAGGGTTCCAGCCACTGCGCCTTGCTTGGTTCACTCCAGCTATGGTTTGGTTGGCACCACCAGGTGGCAGATATCTGATCTGACTTCAGTATTGGAGGCCATTCTTCTGTGACTTGAAGGGACTTCGAGAATATCAGTGGATATCAGTGATTTCAGGAACTCCCGGTTCCTTGACCCTCGTTTCATTAGCCTTATCCAGAGAGACTGGATGAGAAACCACTTTCCCTTCATCAAATTACATTGCCTGCTGTTGTGCTGGGAACTTGCCCTTCACTTCACTTACCCCCTCCCCAAAGATAATAACTCCCCAAAGGTAACAGCTCCCATTTGAGATCACAGAAGACAGGAGCCAGTTGTTGATTGATTTTTGTTTTTGTTTTTGTTTTTTGAGATGGGGTCTCACTATGTTGCCCAGGGTGGTCTTGAACTTCTGAGCTCAAGTGACCCTCTTGCCTCAACTTCTTTGAGAAGCTGGGACTGTGGACTTTTGATACCATGCTCGTCTTTGATTGCTTTTAATCAACATGGTATTATCTCAGGCTTGCATTCACTAGGTTTTATTGTATTTTCTGCATAATCCCCCACCAACCACCCCTCCTAACACCCCCCCCACCCCACCACTGTTGACTTTGTCCTCCTCTTTCTCTTTCAACAGCTTTTAATATTGACTTTAAAAACAAGGCATAAATGAGACTGTGTTGCCACTGCCAAAAACAATTCCACTGACTGTTTCTCCTACCCTTGGCTAGGGAGTGATAAGGTTTTCTTTCTTTTTTATCTACAAAAGTAAAACTGTTCCACACAAAATATGTTGGGTTGCTTTTCTAGCAGCTTTTTAACAAATTGGGTTTAAATTTGGGATCTCACTCTTGCTCAGGCTGGAGTGCAGTGGCACGATGACAGCTCACTGCAGCTTTGAACTCCTGGGCTCAGGCAGACCTTCTCCCTCAGCTTTCCGAGTAGCTGGGACTCCAGGCATGTGCCACCACACCTGGCTAATTTTTAAAAAATATTTTATAGAGATGAGATCTCACTATGTTGCCTAGGCTTGTCTCAAACTCCTAGGCCTAAGTAATCCTCCTCCTCGGCCTCCCAAAGTGCCAGGATTTCGGGTGTGAGCCACCGCACCTGGCTCTAACAGCTTCTAAGTGATCCAGACTCTCTCCTTACCTGTTCATCTTGTGTTGCAGCCTCATTATGTCTTACTTCATCGCCCTAGCTGGAGCACACAAGCGGGTGGTCGTCCAGCTCCGAGAGCAGCTGTCCCTGGTAAGGAAGCACAGGCTCAGAGGATCACGGCCAGAGACCCTTATCCAGGACACCATATGGAAAATGGTGCTTTTCCCAGGGAGGGAGTGGAACAACTGCAGGCTCCTTCCCCACCGCCTCCCTGAAACCTTCAACTCGGCCCCTTACAGCTTCATTCATTTACTGTCTCATCCATTCCTTCAACAAATGTATGGAGCACCTACTCTCTGCTTCGTACTGTGCTGGGGGCTAGGATACACTGGTGAACAAGAGAGACAAAACTGCTGAGTGGTAAAATAAGATAAACTCTGATCATCTTAACTGCCATGAAGGTGATAACAAGACAGCGTGATGAGTAGGTGCTCCTGTAGGTGGTGGCCACAGAAGTCCTCTTTGAGGTCCTAGTTAGGGATGAGAGGAATGAGCCAGGCGCTTCTGGAGGACAGGAGGGAGGGGGTGGTATGGCCAGAAGGTGGTGTGTGGTGGAAAGAGGCAAGATGACATTGTAATACCAGCCAGTCATGGTGTAGTCAGAGGCCTCTGGTAAGAAGCTTGGGTTTTATTCTGAGTGTGATGGGAAGCCACTGGAGGATTTTAAAAATCTTTTTGTAGAGACTAGGTCTTGATATGTTGCCTATGCTGTTCTCAAACTCCTGGACTCAAGTGATCCTCCCACGTGGGCCCCTCAAGTGCTTTCAGTGGGAGTCACCATGCCTGGCCTAATGAGCATTTAAAAAAAAAAATCAGCTGCCCTGTGCACAAGGGCCTGTGGAGGGGACACAAATGAAAGAGGCACACACCAGATCCGAGGCCATTACAGTAGTCCAGTGGTTAGAATTCTTAGCCCTGGGACTGGTACGTCATTGTGATATTTGTTTCCAAATATATTAAACTTGTTTCTTTCCTCAGGAAAGTCGTGACAAGCGCTACCTAATCCAGAAACTAACAGAAGCCCAAAGAGACGCGAGGAACCAACTGGACTGAGCATGATGATAGTGCTGCCTGTGGCTGCTAAGCTGACCCAGTGATTCTTGAGCCTGCAAAGTCCACCCTGGTTTTGGGTGGAGATTTTAAAATATATTTTTCTGAAATTGAGGTTTTTTCTCAATGTGAATCTGTATGTACAACTGTGTTTACCTAACCCAGCCCCTGTTTAGGACGTCAGTGACTTAGAAAAGCAGTCAAACCCAAGACTTTGCCTGTGGACCAGCAGGTCGGTGGTGACTACACCAAAAAACCGATTAAGCGGTTCAAGCTTTTACGTCAAGAATAGAAGAGGACTTTTTTTTTCTTCTTTTTTTTTTTGAGTAGGGGTCTCACTCTGTCACCCAGACTTGAGTGCAGTGTCAGAATCACAGCTCACTGCCTCTTAGGCTCAGGTGATCTCTCTGCCTTAGACTCCCAAGTAACTGGGACTTCAGGTTTGCGCCACCATTCCCAGCTACTTTTTTTTTTATTTTTTGTAGAGATAAGGTCTTGTCATGTTGCTTAGGCTGTCTTGAATGCCTGGCCTCATGCAACCCTCCTAACTCAGCCTCCCAAAGTACTGAGATTATAGGTGTGAGCCACCATGCCCAGCCCATTTTTTAAAAAAGCTTATTTGTGTTGTCTTTTAAAGTTAACTTTAGTAGTCATTTGCTTATGAGCCTGGGTTATTTCTCGTGAACCAGGGTCTAGGGATTTAGGCTGTTGAGTATTCCTGAAGAAGTAGAGACCCTCTTGAATGGCTCTGTTGACTTAAAGTAAAACCTGATTATTTTTTTAAATGAAGAGAAATCCTTGAATTATGATGCTTAGAATAGATGGTGAGAAGAAGAAGACGGTTATGTCATTTCAGCTACAGGGTAGTACCAGGAAAGAGAAATCTCATCCCTGCGATGTGAATAAATCTTGGAATGCCCTAGACCAAGACTCATGAGGAGGGAAACTGTGGAATGCAGCTTTGATTTCTTAGTTTCCTGGGCATTTTGCTGCCTTATTTATTACTCAGGGAAAAGCTATCCTTAGGGGACTAGTTAGCTGCAAACCTTCAGTTTCCATCTCGTTCTGAGACATGGCAGAGGTCTCTGTGCCTTCAAAATTAAGAGGCAGGCAAGTCTTGTCTCTCAGTCCGCCAAATACCATTTCACTTCCTGGCTTACACTGAGGTTTCCATTTCTGAAGGACACTTAGCCACTTCAGAGCCTGGCTGGAAAGGGCTTGGTTTTGTAGTTGAGCTGAGAGTTCATGTACATGAGTGTTCTGGGACATGGGTTGCAGCTCAGCCTGTTCATCGGACAAGCCTGTGAGTGTGCCCCAAATAAAATTGGAGGCTGTTTCTTAAATACATGTCTCCACATGTTTAAGGGCTATTGTTTGTTTTCCTGTCCATAAAATTTTAAATGCATGTGTCTTTATTTTACAGAACATGCAGAGTATCTTTTAAGATTTCCGTTAGGGCAAAAACCGTATGTAGTAAATACCTCATCATAAGCCTACTAAAAATCAATAGCTCTGAATCTTTTAATAGAAGCCTCAGTTATTGTGTAATTTATCAGTTTTCATTTTATTATCTGCAAAGTCTTTTTTCAAAGTCCCACAGTTTTGTTATGGGCCGCTTGAGCCTTCCTTCCATTGTTCTTTTTGCCTTTCACTGGCTCCACACCTTTCCTGGGGAGTAGGCTGGATCTCCCAGTTGGGTGCAGGCTTCAGAAAGCAGCTGTTTACTTCCCACCCCCACCCCAGCTCTCCATTATTCAAGCATGATTGACTCCTTGCACTGAGGAGCAAAGGTATCTTCTTGGCTTCTGCCACAACTGTCATTTTCATGCTCTTCCACAAAGATACTGTTAACTAGGATATTTTTGTACCTGTGAGATCGATGAGTTTTTCAATCTTTTCCCATCTTTTTAAGGCTTATGAGTTCTAAACCTAATAACTGGGATCATGGAATTTTGAGTAGCCAAAAGTCCATCCCAATCTCACTTAACAAATTCTAACTGTAAGCATTTCTGCCTAGTATTTATATAGATAGATAGATAGATAAATGTCCCTTCAATGTGCTTCTGAGGACATTCGGGTTTTCTGTTTGTGTATGTGTGCACTGTGTGTGTATGTGTTCAAACAATGAAAATATATTGCTGTTTTCTTTACCTATTATATAATAGTGAAATATGCTAATTAATATTTTTAGTTAAATGCGAATTTGCATACCTTTTACTTGAATTTTTTAATGTTTTGATAACTAGTAATTTCAGGTGATGTCTGTATAATTTTTAATGTGCAGCTTTGTCTATCAAATGTGCATAAAAACTACTGATTAAACAGTGTCTTGAGGGCTTTAAAATGTGATTACGTCTATTTGAAATCACAGGCTTCTTGTCAGCATTCAAGTGATCATGGAAAACTCTAATATTCTGTAAAGTTGCTCTTTGTCTTTTACATCAGAGAGAAGAAAGAAATGTTTAATGCGATCATTAGATGAGTGTTTTCAAAGCTCCTTGTCTACTCCTTGGCTCTGTTGAAGTGAAGGAGGGGTTGAAACCAAGGAGGGGTGTAAGTGCATTTTAAACTTAAAAGACATAAAATTATGTCAAGCATTCCCCTCCCACCCCCACAAAAAGAACCACTAATGATGTTTACTTTATTCTTCCCGCGAAGTAATCCACATTCAAGCAGATATATAAGTGATGTATGGGTGATGTATGAAATACATATTTCTGAGCTTCCCCTGTTTCCCTCAGTAACATCTTGAAGATCTTTCCATATAAGCAGCAACCTCATTCTTTTTAATGGCTACATATCATTCAGTGGTATCAGTGTATACTTTACAATCGTTCCCAGGCTAACGGATGCTTAGATTGTTTTTGCCCTCTCGCCCTCTACAACCCTAGAAACTGAGGTTTTGAAAGTCTCTGTAAGCATTTCTCTGTCTTGCTCCATTCTGCCTCAGGTCCCTGTTCTTCAGGTAGCCTTGCAGGTTGTTGCAGTCACAAAATATTCTCATTGCAGCAAAAAGAAGAATCCAGTTAGCCAACTTTTAAGTTGGAAAAGTAAATTCCAGCAGCTACAGATATGATTGCAGCTACTCACTTGGGCAAATAGCAGGGAAGAAAGGAATTCATTTTGCCAGGGTGGTACTGCAAGGTCTGATTCTTGGGAAGAAAGAATTTCTGAATGTATCTTCTTTTTTTTTTTTTTCCTTGAGTTGGAGTGTCACTCTGTTACCCAGGCTGGAGTGCAGTGGCATGCTCACGGCCACCACAGCTTCGACCTATTGGGTTCAGGCGATCCTTCTGCCTCAGTCTTCCAAGTAGCTGGAACTACAGGTGTGCACCACCACACCCGGTTAATTTTTTGATTTGTTGTGGAGACGAGGTCTCACCAGGCTGCCCAGGCTGGTCTCAAACCCCTGAGCTCAGACAATCTTCTCACCTCGGCTTCCCAAAGTGCTGGGATTACAGGCTTGAGCCATCACACATGGTATCTTTTTTATAATAGGGTATGGCTATACTAGTGAATTTCCTTTCCTATGCATGAGATGTGCTTGGGACATGGAATGGCTTACTACTTGCCTAATTATGTGTGATTTTTGTACAACTCTCTTCACTTCTCTGAAATAAAGTTCCCTTATCTTTAAAATGGAAAAATAATACATACATTCACTTTTATTTTGGGGGGGCGTTGAATTAGGAAGAAGCATGCTTTTAAAAAAAATTTGCTTTGCCATTATAAAAATACTTATCATAGGAAATATGGAGAACATCCAAAGCTACAGAGAAAAAAATTAAAATCACTCATAAGCACTATTATGGACATCCACTGCTCATTTTGACAAAACTCCTTTTAAGAAAGTACGAAGTTAGGGAAGAAGGATGGAAAGAAGGAAAGAAAAAACGTGGAATTTTCATTTCATTTTCACTTAATACAAGCATTTTTCATGTTATTTAAAGCTCTTTATAAATGTTCAAATGGACTACATAACACCATACAGATGGATCATAATTTTTTTATATTCCCTTGTTGCTTAACATTTTGTCTAGGCTTTTCCGATAATAAGTAATGGAACATCCAAAAATCTTTGTCTACAAGTGGAATTATGGCAAAGGTTTTAAACATTCTAAGGCTTTTGAGAGCCAGATTTACCCTCTTGGTAGCTTTACATGAAAATATTGCATCACCTTCACTAAGTATTAAGTATTTGGGTTCATCATAATTTTATATTAATATTAAGTAATTTAATTGAGTTTATTAAACGATTATTTGTGCATTATTAATTCACTATAGGTAAATTATAATAATTGATGCAATTTTAAATTCTATTACTCTACAGTGTAATTTATATCACGCTCTAGAGTGATATAAAAAACTAGAAACTTAAATTCAATTATTTTACAATAGTTTTGTGCCTCAAAATAAAACTTGAATAAAATATATAAATAACTCAAGGGTGTAAAATAGAAAGTGAAAGCCCTCATCTCACAATTGTTACCAATATTAAACGTTTTGTTTTATATTCTTCCTGACATACATCTTTGATTTTTTGGCCCTTATATACATTACTACTTGAAAAATTATTTCTGATGAGTAGATCCCTAGAAGTAAAACTGCATTAAATGGATATGCGCTTTAAAAAGTACGATACATATTGCAAAATTTCCCCTCCCCTCTCTCCCCCCAAACCAATTTGCACCACACGAGCAATAGTCAAATGGATACCAAAAATAAAACATGTTCTCTGTTTACAAATCTGAAAATAGAGAAAAGGACCAGAAAGGAATTTAAAGTCGGAAGCCCGTCACCCAGAGTTGACATTCTTGATCATGTGGTGAATTTAATTTCAGCATGTAATTTCTATTATTTTAAAGTGTATGTAGATATAAATAGAGAAAAATAGTTCCTCCATGTAGGTAAAGCAGAAAATACGATGGCTCTATCAATAAGTGATTTCCTCGAGTTTTCAAACTGCAATTTAGCATTCTCATCTCCTTGGCAACCCTAGGCATTTTTACCGCCTTCGGTCTTCCAAGTGATTGATAGTGACAGCATCCAATAGACTCTCCTCATTTGCCGTTTCTAACCAATAGAATGGAAAATTGGGCTAGGGGCGTTTCCACCGATGCCCGGGAGGGCGGTGTCTGCCGTACACACCTGTTGCGTCATCAATGTGCGCCAAGGGCCCACTTGGCCCGCCTCGCTCAACCGAGAGGCTGCCTTGTTCCAGCAATGAGTTTTGCCAGGGCGGCGGCGACTCCCTCCCTGGGGAGGCTGTACACAGATGCCCGGAGGCCCCTCTCAGGTAAAGGGGCACGCGCGGTCTCAGTCCCGTGCTGGGCTGTTGAGCCGGGAATTTGTGTATGAGAGTTAAGTCGAAGAGGTCACGGTGGAGACGTTTTCATTACGTCACAGGCCTGCGACGGAGCGCGACTGCCCGTCCTAAACCTAAGCCGCTGGGACGGGGCGGAGCCTGTAGTCCGCCGCGAGAGTGACAAGCGGAAAGCATGTGGGTTTCGGCAGTGACGCTTGGTCAAGGTGGCCGAGTTAGGGAGCGACGTAACTGCACACCTGTGCCGTGACGTCACCGCAAGCGTGGTCGGCGTTCCGGGTGAAGACAGTTGGCGACACTGAAAGTTCAGTGTCCCGGGAGTGCTTTGTCGTCTTTGCCAGGGCCCTGCCTGGCAGAGCGTAGCCCGACGTCCATACTTCTGGGCGCTTATTAGAGATGCAGATTTTTGGCCTGGCGCAGTGGTTCACGCCTGTAATCTTAGCACTTTGGGGCCCAGGACGGGGGCCTCGCTTGTGGCCAGGAGTTTGAGACCAAGTTGGGCAACACAGCGAAGACTATTTTAAAAAAGAAAGAAAGAAACGTATTTTCTTGGATCCCACGCCAGACCTGTTTGGTCGGTATCTGTATTTTAAAAAGACTTTCAGATTATTTGTATGCACTGTAAACTTTGAGAGCCATCAGTGTAGTGTAGGGAGCATCGAGCGTGGAGTAGAGAGACAGACAGACACATGGTTTTGGAATCTGGGTCCGTCTGCTTTCCCCTTTTCATCTGAGCTGTCTCAGAAAATTGTTGAGAGACCTCAAAGTTCAATCACTCGTGCACCACCTTCAGGATTTTTGCTTTGTGGCAATGCCAGCTGAACTTTTGATTACAAAGTGTGTTTTCTTGTGTAATTATGTCTCATTTTAAAATTAAATACTTTTGTGGAAACTAAATCCTTATGGTAAATGGAAAACTGTACCACCTGCCCCAAATGGATGAGTAATCTTTAAAAAAAAAAAAGTTATGACAATGTATTAGATGCTGTTGCCTACCAAGGTTTGAACCCAAGACCATCTATCTTTCTTTGTGATAAAAAAGGAGATTAGCAAGTGTTAGGAAGGGTCAGGATATACCAACTGTAAACGGAGATGTCTTCCTTGATGAAATCAAAAGGATTGGAAGAGAATTTAAAAGAGTAACTCTTATTACATGGGTGTTATTTAGTGAATATCCATAAGCCACTTAAAGCCTTCCCATATGCCATTTAAAATTTCCTAGGTAACGTCGTCAGTATGTTTCACATTTTGGAAAGCAAAGATATAAAATGATGCATTTGAAAGCCTCTAGCAATGAGCCTTAATTTCATTTTAAAGTGTGTAACAATGCAGGCAAAACTCAGAGGGTTGTTGAATATGAATTGTAATGCTTCTCTTGTTGAGCATTATAGAATAAGAATCATTCATGTTTGTAAAGTTACTTTGCTTCTATCTCGTTTTATCCTCATAGCCCAGAGAAGTTCTAATATTGTATGTTTTACCTTAAAAAGGAAATGGCCTGGTGATTACCAATTTTGTATGGTAATATAGATCATTTTTCCTTAATGTTGATTCTGATTTGTCCAGGATTTTGTGTTGGGAAGGACATACATTTTCTGACTTTAAGATCATGTCCTTTCTGTGGCCTATCCCATTGCTTTACAGAGCACTACAGAGATTATGAAAAGATAAAATGGCAAATATTATGATACACAATTCCCACCTCAAGTTTATTTATTGGGTGCCTGAATCTGAAGAGTGATGCGGTGATAGGGAACAGTGTGGTGTGCTTTGAATACACACATAATCCTACCCGTTACCCATCAGAAGTCAGCTGTGACCCATCAAAAGTCAGCTGTGTTTGCACTTGTCCTAAATATTCAGCCTCTTGCTGTTTCTCAGTAGTTTTTTTTAAAAAACAAGTATTGAGTTGTCTCTACCATTCTTTCTCATTAGCATGTTTTTGTGTGGTAGTAACAAGTGAAAGAACAAACAAAAATTATTTTTAGAAATAGAGCCAGCTCAATTTTCATTACAGGACCCCATCTTTCTAGAATGAGATCAGTCTGATGGATGCACTAGACTTGGACTTGGAGGCAGAATCTTGCAGCAGGCTACCTTGATTTTGTCCAGTGTCTCAAATTGTTCTCATAAATCACACCCACAGACCACAGTGCCCCACTGTCTGATGGCACAGTTGTGAGTGGTACATTCCACTAGGCAGTACTTGGACTCCATCTAGTTCTTGGTATCTTGTTCCCAGACTCCATCATGTTTCTTGAGTTAAATATGCTCAGTGAGATTGAGCAGGTCATGCAGAGAAGTGGACCAAAGCTGAGTCACGATGCTTCTGAACCCCTTATTCATGCTCCTTTGTTTAACCATTCTTAAATGCCACCTGGCATTCAAAATCCCACCAGGTAGAAAAATTCAAATGCAGAACCACCTCACATTTTTCCAACCTACCTCATCACCTTGAGTCCAAAGCACTCACACCTTTTTAATGAAGAACCATGGATATATCCAAGGTGAATTTTTTCCACACATTTTCTGGCCTAAGTGAACAGAAGTATTCATAAAAGACACAGTAATCACAGCATAAGAGCCCTGAAACACATTTCAAAGTGATACCAGCTAACATTCAAACAACGATCTCTGGGTTTCTATTTCCATATCTGCAAAATGAGATGAATATGCATTACACACCTAAGTATACTACAAAACCCTCACAGGAAAATTTTTTTTTCAGATCTCATAAAGATCAGAGAATATAATTAAGATATTACAATGAGAAAAAAATATTTAAACTGAAATCTAATCTGTCCTGAAGAATTTATATCTGGAAGATGAGAGGAGTTCAGTTGAATTGATTTTGGATCATAGAGAGATGAAACCTAAGCTCTAAGGCTTGAGTCTCAAAATCATATCCCCACGGGCATGGTGTTTTAAGAGAACTTATGTCTGTGGCTCTTGACCTTGACTATGGAGAAGGTTTGTGTAGAGGGCTTTTTAAAAATATCAGTGCAGTGGAGGAGATGTCCCTTTCTGGAGATAATGGAGTAAGACACCATGTTTTTGAAAACTTCTACTGTATCACCCAGGCTGGGAAGAAGCGGGCCAGGATGATGGGTGACCTGGAGAACATGCCCGTTTGGAAGTAGCTGTCATGCTAACTGCCCAGTGAGAAGACAGGCTCAGCGTTTCCAGGTCTTCATACACTTAAAGTGAAGCCAGAAACCCAGATCTTTAGGTAAAATCCTCTGGGTTCTAACACTGCAGGCTAAGCAGAATACATTTATGGGCACATCTGCCCCATGGGAGCTCATTTGTGACCTTTGTCCTAAAGTGCCCCTTTCTTCTGTCTGTAAGAGCTCTCCATTTTATCTGACAGTAATGAAGAATAAACACTTGCATTTCAGCTTATGGAAGAAGAATCAGTGTCAGACTTTGCAGTTCAAGAATGACTTCAGATAATATCAATTGGGCAGCTGTGGATCGAATAATCCGAGTGGATCATGCAGGTGAATATGGAGCTGACCGCATCTACGCAGGGCAGATGGCTGTTCTGGGTCGGACAAGTGTTGGACCGGTCATTCAGGTGAATGCTGCTTTATCCCTCTCAGCCTGGTCTACCGAATGGGTGGATCCAAGGCCTTCAAGTAATGAACCACAGTGGGTCATGCATTCATTCCCAAGGGAGGTACTGTTTTCTCCAAGAGAGTAACAGCTGGTTCTCACAGACTGGGAGTGGGGGAGCAAAAAGCATGTTATCCTATTTACATAGAAAGCACAGATAGACGTCTTGCACTTGGACAGGTACACAGTATCTCTGTGATATTGAACTTCATGGAAGGGCAGGCAATCAGGAGAAGAAGGTTAAGAATCACTTTGTTAGATGAAGGTACCCTGTGCTGAGAGGTGGTAGTCCCACCCTGTGGAGTGCCAGCGGAGATACTGAATACCGAGAGGCACACAGGAGGGCCTGGACTTTGTGGTCACAAGGACCTGGGTTCATATCCTGGCTGTCTCCACCTCCCACCTGTGTGACCTTGGGGAATCACATGGCCTCTCCGGGTCCCCATTTCCATATCTACAAAATGGTCTTATCATGGCCTGGGTTAGGATAAGGCCCAAATGGGCTGGTGTAGAGCAACTGTTGTGTAATGGGTAAGTTAGTACGAGTTTAGTCGCCTGCTCTGAGTCTTAGGGCAAGTTACTTACATTCTTCTCTGTACCTTACATTCTTCATCTATATCCTGGAGATGATAATAGTTTATATCCACAGGGTACACTATTGAGTGAGTCGCCTGTGTAAAGCCATTGGACAGCACCATTCTTCCTTTTTCCTTTGATGTAAATGATACTAATTTTCTGTCAGTCTTGAAAGAAGTCACATGGTCACTAACATTCTGCCCTTCTGATTTTGAAATGAGTTAATTGTCTCATTCCTTTGTGTCATTTAATGACCCTTGTCATTTAATAGGCCCATTGTGTGTCTGAGGGGCTTCTCCTGGAACCATTACCCTTGGCATGCTTATCTGGAGCTGAGATAACAGGCTATGCCTTGGCTTGTTGACACTCTTCTCTCCATGCCAGAGTGTCCCTGTAGTCTTGTTTTCATTGGTGTTTTGAGGGTAACGAAGGAGACAGCAATTCCTGCTGTTTTTTCCACTTTTGTTTTGTGTCCCATTATCCCATGGACAGCCATGTCACCTCCTCATTGCATAGCAGGAGGCCTCTGTGGAATGCTTGCATGTATGTACTTTTACGTTTCTTGCAGAAAATGTGGGATCAAGAAAAGGACCATTTGAAAAAGTTCAGCGAGTTGATGGTCACCTTCAGGGTCCGGCCGACAGTTCTGATGCCCCTCTGGAATGTGCTGGGGTTTGCACTGGGTACGTGTCTGTGCAGAAGAGGTTATGCGAGCTTAGGGATCTGGGATGAGTAAATCGTTCAGGTACACTTTCACAGTTTTTGCTGTGTCCTCTTACGGAGTTTATTTCATTTCATATTTTTCTAAAGTTAAATTGACTACCTTTTTTTTTTACTTAAATTTATTTAAGATAGAATCTTAATATCAGTTCTTTTACAAATAGAAAGTGTAGTGAAAGTAAACACATCAGTGAGAAAAAGCTAGCATAATACAATTGTAGCAGATATTGTTCCCTGACAAAGATTCTAAGCCTAAATCTGTTCTCTCTTTCAGAAAGGGAGAAGAGTACATGGGTTAGCAGATCAAAGACATACTCACCCCAAATGCAGACTTTCTTATGGCCATAATCAGAAGGTTAAATGAGCACTGGAAAGAGAACTGCTTTCTTACTATATGATTCCAGGCTTTACACAGGGATCTGGTATCACTTAAAACATTGGTTCTCCACTGGGGCAAGTCTGCCCCCCAGAGGACATGTGGCAATATCTGACATTTTTGGTTGTCACACTTAGTTGGCACTACTGGCATTTGGTTGTCACACTTAGTTGGCACTACTGGCATCTAGTTGGTAGAGGTCAAAGACACTCTTAAATAAGTATCCTACAATGCGTGGGATAGCCCCCATCACAAACAGTGGCCCAGCCCCAAATGTCAATGGTGCTGAGGTCAAGAAACCCTGATCAGAAATTCTCTCTATTACCAGTGGTATTGCTCCCTTACTTTCCTCTCTGGGTTTAACAATTCCAGGGGCAGGGACTGCCTTGCTTGGGAAGAAAGGCGCAATGGCCTGCACGGTGGCAGTGGAAGAGAGCATAGCACATCACTACAACAACCAGATCAGGACACTGATGGAGGAGGACCCTGACAAGTATAAGGAGCTTCTCCAGGTATTTGGCTGTACTCTAGATGGGGGCTGCTCCAGGCCAGGAGAGCAGAAACGTACCTGGGTAAGGAGAAAAGATTTAAGAAAATGTTAGGGGTGAAGGGCTAAGGTATCTAGGTCCGCACCTCAGTTTGAAGGAGGCATCAAGATGCAAAGCCACCTGCCTGGTCACACGGCTCAGGCAGAGCTGGGACTAGAGCCCTTATCTCCATGAACCTTGTCCCTGGCTGTGTTCTCTCCACTTCCTTATCGTTGGTAGATTCTGAGCAAATGCTATGAGTGTGAACCCTGTGGATTAAATAAATGAACTAATAGATATTCTCAGATAATTTTCCACGGCAAATAAGGGAACTGTTTAATTTTTTAAAGTCTAAATTGGAGGCCGGCAAACTATGGCCTGTGGCCAACTGCTGGTTTCTGTAAATAAGGTTTTATTGGAACAGCCATGCCCATGTGTTTGCATATCTACAGCTCTTTTCTCAGCTGCAGTGACAGAGTTGAAGAGCTGGGACAGAGACTGTACAGCCTGCAAAGCTTAAAGTATTTGCAGGAAAAGCTGGCCTACCCCTCTTAGACTAGAATATGAGACTTTAGCCTCCAAAATAAGATGGAAGATCAGGAGAGTTGGAATGCTGACTTGCTTTGATTTCTCTTGAACCAGGTGATAAAGAAATTTCGGGATGAAGAGCTTGAGCACCATGATATAGGCCTCGACCACGATGCAGAATTGGTAGGGACCCACTGCTACTTGTGCTTTGGGGCACCTTATTTGGAAGGGTGAGGGGGCAGGAGATTTCTGTTTCCAGAAAAATCAATTTAAACTAACAACCAAGGAGAAGAAAACCAGTGACATTGCTTTGACAGAAAGCAAGGAAATGCATTGCCTCAGTCGGGGAGTCTCACTTCTCCCTTCACCCCTTGCTCCTGTCCCCAAGAACTTATTTTCCCTTTCCTGGGAGAAACCGCTTGATTTCACTATTTTGGCAGTAGTAGAGGCATTCCAATTTTTTGAATTGCTTTTTTCCAAATAAAAATAAATTGTTCCTCTGATCTTATTTCGGTATTCCAATTTTTTGAATCACTTTTTTCCAAATAAAAATAAATTTTTCCCCTGATCTTATTTCTTATCCAGAGAAGTCCAAACTCTTCCCTGCCAGCCCTGAATTTTACAACTAAAAATGAACATGTAACGGGTTCCTTTTGTTTTCTTGTTGTTTTTAACAGGCTCCAGCATATGCCATCCTGAAGAGTGTTATCCAAGCTGGGTGCAAAGCAGCAATATTTTTATCAGAAAGATATTAAAGTATGTTTATGTATCCCTGTCTTTAAAAGAGGATAGTAATTAAACAAGTGACATTTGCAGAGAAGGAAATGCAAAATTATCATGATGTGAATTTTGTTAATAAACTACAAAGGTTTTTTTTTTTTCATTACTAAAGCTCTCTGGTGTTGAGTTCTCTGTGTTGTCTTATCCCATAAGACTTACAGGCCACCAGCCTTATTAAAATTACAGCAAACAAAGCTGGTCCTTATTTGGTGTCAAAGTTCACTTTCCTAAAACATCAATGAATCACGAATAAAGTAACAGGAATCTTTAAAAGAAAAGAAAAAAAATTGAGTTTACTGGTCACGAAAGGTAATTTGATACATGAGGATATTTAAGAGTGGCCAAGCAAGACCACGAAGTCCATCACATAAGTCAAGGATTGTCCGTGATTCCGTTTTGAACTGTGGTGGTGTGGATGGAAGAGTGCCATGGTTGGAATGTTTGTGAACCTCCAACATGCATTTTTTGAAATCCTCACCCACAAAGTGATGGTGATGGAGGCTTTGGGAAGTGATAAGGTCATGGGAGGAGCCCTCTTGAATGGGGTCAGTGCCTTACGTTGCCCAGGCCCCAGAGAGATCCCTCACCCCTTCCACCACATGATGCTTCAAGGTGCCATCTATGAGGAAGCAGGCCCTCACCAGACACAATTGGCTGGCACCTGGATCTTGGACTTCTCAGCCCCAGAACTGAGAGCAAAAAATGTCCTTATAAACTGCCAGTCTATAGTGTGTTGTTATGGCAGTTTCCAGGGAGGGATGCTGCTTCCATCAAAGAATATACTAAGTTGCAGACTGTCTGTGAAGTTGAATTGTACTTATTTCCTCAGGGTCTGTCACCAAAATAATGAGCCAAAACTGATTTAAATGTTTATACTTTGATGAGATATTTTACAATTTGCTAATTTTCAAATAATTTATAAAAATTACCCTAGATCAGTGGCTCTCCTCTCCAGCTGCTCCTTAGAATGTCCTGTGGAGATTTAAAAGTTTTTTTCAGTTGTAGACCAAAAATTCTGACTTTATTAGGGTGAGGTTCAGGATCAAAATGGTTTCAAAAGCTCCCAGTGGTTCTGGTGTGAGTCGGGCCTGTGAACCCCTGAACTGGACTGTAAGCTGAGGAACCACCTCTCTCAGACATTTGCCTCCCACCAAGTGTCCAGCATCTATCTATTCACACCAGATGCCGCGGCAGGACTTGCCTCACAAGGTCTGACTGTGAAGGACAGTGGACACCAGGATGGTTTGGATTAATCCTCTACAGCTTCTCTTTTTCCTCAGCCAAGAGCAAATTTCGTTTTGTATGATTGAGTGATTATCTCCCAGTAATAGTTGTAAAAAATTAAATATGGGCAAGAAAAGGAGTAAAGATGGTTTTAGATGCCACACTCTTCTGCAGTGTAGTTCAGTATTGTTTACTAACAACTGAAAATTCTATCCAGTTGGCGCCGAGGTGTCTACACTATTTTATAAGTGTGCATTTTCTCTCTCTCCTATAGAAGAGCATGAGTTCCTGTACACAGTAGGTGCTCACTGAAAAGGAGGAAAATGAGAGGGAAGGAAGAAGGGAGGGAGGAAAGATGTTTTTAAAGCAGCTGCAAAACTGCTGCAAAAACAGCCCCCTTAGCTCTTCTTCCTCCTCGCAGATGTCTCCATGCCAGAGGGTCCTGGAGCACAGTTCTTGGACTTGTTCTAGTGTCCTGTGCTTTTCTTGGGTGTCTTGTTGTGGCTGATTCCTTCACATTTGTATCTCCCGCTCAGCCCTCTTATTTCCAAATATCCTACTGCCTACCTTAGATGTCGAAGAGACTTTTTTTCTTTTTGTTTATTTTAAATATGTGGGGTACTGTTCAGGGTTAGATATTCCAATGTTCATTATGCAGGTCCCTTGTTGATGAGGTGTGCCCCCTCCCCCCAGCAGTTTCCCACTCCTGCCAGAGGAGACTTTCCAAATCCACGTGTCCCAAGCAGGGTCCTCAGTTCCCCTCCTTCAAACCTGCTTCCCCATCACAGGGAGTGGCAGCTCCAGCCTTTGGGTGCTCAGACCGGAATCACTACATTCCCCATTGACTCGTGCCTCCAGCACACCTCCATCCCGTGACCAGGACATTCTATGGGCTCTACCAAAGTTTCTCTCTGCTCCACCTCTGCCATCAGGACCCAGCCACTCTCCTCTCTCACCTGAATGACTTCAGAAGCCTCCTGACCACTCTTCCTGCTTTACCCTGTCACCCCCAAATCAACCCAGCAATCAGAGTGGACCCATGAACCATAAGCTGGAGTGCATCACTGCGCAGCTCAGAGCTCCCCAGTGGCTTTTTCCAACTGACAACTGACCGTAAAAGTCCCTCAAATGGTTTGCAAGACTCCACATGACCTGGCCCTTGGATCCCTAACCCCCTTTCTAACTCTGCTCTAGCCACACCAGCCTCCTTGCCACCCCTCAGCAATGCCAGGCACACTTCTGCCAGGTGGTCTTTGTGATAGCTGCTCCATCTGCCTGGAATGCCGTCTCTCAGATGTCTGGGTGGTCAAATCCTTCACCAAATCCCAAGTTTTTACTCAAATATCGCCTTTCAAAGGAAGCCCACACTGAACACCTTTTCCAAAATTGAAAACCCTGCCCTGTACTACGCCTCCTCCCCTTGGTCTGCTCTGATTATTTTCCTCATAGCACTCACTACCTTTTAGTATATTATTTAATGTACTTGTTATGTTTCTCCCTGCCATACTGGAATGTAAGTTCTGAGGGCAAGGATCTTTTAGTTGCTGACACATAACAGATGCTCAATAAATAGTTGTTGATGGAATTGAATGAAGAAATAGGTCTCCTTTATTAGAAGTGGTTTCCAAATAACTAGTAATTTAGTCTTGTGTGCACCACAGCAAAATTAAATGAAAATTTACTGAAACGATATCATCAAGAAACCGAAGGAAGGCCATTCTCTGTGCTTCTTGCTGGTGATTTTAAAAATACAGACTGGTTGTCCACATGCAAATAAGTTTGAGCACCTGCTTCACAGTGCCAAAACTCTGAAACTGAGAAGAAAACATAAGGGTGAACTGTGTGATCTTGAATTAGGCAAGTTTCTTAGATATGACATCAAAAGCAGTAGCATAGAAGAAGAAAAAAGATAAATTGTCCTTCATCAAAAACTTGGGCTTGAAAAGACAATATCAAGAAAATGAAAAGACAACTCATAGAATGGGAGAAAATATTTGCAAATCATTTATCTGATAAAGGACTCGTATGTAAAATATATAAAGACAATATGCTCAACAATAAAAAAGACAGCCCCCAAAATAGGCCAGGGACCTGAATAGAGATTTCTCCAAAGAAGATATACAAGTAGCCTATAATAAGCATATTAAAAGGTGCTCAACATTAACCATCAGGGAAAAACCACAAGATACCACACCCACTAGGATGACTGTAATCAAAAATGTGGAAAACAAACCAAGCTGGGTGGCTCAGCCTGTAATCCCAGCACTTTGAGAGGCTGAGGTGAATGGATTGGCTGAGCCCACAGGTTTGAGACCAGCCTGGGCAACATGGTGAGACCTCGTCTCTACAATAAATAAAAAATTAGCCAGGCTTGGTAGCACACACCTATAGTTCCAGCTACTTGGAAGGCTGAGGTGGAAGGATTACCAGAGCCCAACAGGTCGATGCTGGGGTGGCCGAGAGTGTGCCACTGCACTCCAGTCTGGGAGATGGAGTGAGACTCCAACTCAAAAAAAAAATCCAGCTACTTGGAAGGCTGAGGCAGAAGGATCGTCGGAGCCCAGCAGGTCGAGGCTGCAGTGGCCGGGAGCGGCCACTGCACTCCAATCTGGGCGACAGTGAGACTCCC